AATGGACCCCAACACCTTCTATAGACTTCTCGCTAAATTGGAACCATACATAAAAAAACAAGATACCGTTATGAGGCGGAGCATATCTCCAGAGGCTCGTCTAGAGGCTACGCTCATATTTCTTTCAACTGGGTGCTCCTACACGTCGCTTCAGTATACAACGAGGATATCAAAACAAAGTTTGTCTACCATAATACCTGCAACTTGTTAAGCCATATATGAAGTACTCAAGGAGGATTACTTGCAGGTGAGATTTGTAGTATACATAGTTATTCAATTTTGACGGTCACGAGAGGTTCCCATGGTAACACATGTCTTATTATGTGTTATAGTAGGCTTAGTGGGGCTTCCGGTTTTTATCGATTATTAATGAAAATAACACTGTTTTTGTAAAAGGGGATAACCCTCCATACACATGATACATGATGGACCTGTTTAGGACACAAGGTTGCTTCCAAAACGCTATAGACAACTTATTATACACTGTATTTAACATAATTACATACTCCCTAGCGTATGTAGTCTTAAATTAAATATCTGAAGACCCACTCCAAACAATAAAGACATGTAAACCAAACCAACATGCATATTCGTCAATAAAAATAAAAAACTGGAGTATGTTTTAACAACAGTTATCACTGTTTGCCACTAATGATGCATCAATAATTATAATAAGTACGCGTATCCAACACCCTCATTCAATAAATGACCCTTACATAATAATCGTTGAGGAGGAAAGCCTACCTAGTTTCCCCAGATAAAGGATCTCATAAATAAGTTTCTGAGCATGTATTTTATTTTCACTGCTCATCTGTCGAAGATGTCTGCATCATTTATAATATTTTCGGAGGAAGATAATGACTGCAGGTGGTGGAGGGCCTCTTTCAGGATATTATCAGCATCGTCAGAAGCCCTTTTGGTCGGTCGTTTACGTGTTGACGGTGTGGGTGAGGGTTCACGAGTATTCGATTCTGCAGCCGAACGAGAGACAGTCGGTGTAGCCATACGAGAGACGGTGGGCGTGGCCGAACCAGTGACAGTGGCTGGTGGATTATCATCAAGTCCCAGCAGTAGCGTATCGTTGAATATCTATAAATAAAAAAAAAATATACAAAAGCCCTTTGTTAATAGTGACACACAAAATATATACATACATATTACGTACAATACAGAGAGAGAGAGAGACAGAGAGAGAGAGACGATAAGTAAATGAAAGTGTATAATAGAGAATGAACATAACTATGCTGACATGCCCTTTATTCGTATGTATTTACAGACACCTACAAGTCCAGAGGAATGGAAGCATGTGGCAAAGGGTTTTGGGAAAAATGGAACTTTCCAAACTGCTTGGGATCCCTGGATGGGAAGCACATTGTGATAAGGCTTCCAGCCGGTAGTGGCTCGTACTACTACAACTACAAAGGGACCCACAGCATCGTACTGATGGCCGTGTGTGATGCCAACTCCGAATTTATTTACGTGGACGTGGGTACTAATGGACTTGTATCAGACGGCGGTGTGTGGGATAACACCATCCTCAGTCACCATATTGCAAATCATTCTGCCCGCCTGCCAGATGATATGATGCTTCCCGGGAGTCACAGGACATTACCATTCGTCTTTGTGGCAGATGACGCATTTCCATTGCAGCGTCATATCCTGAAACAAATTTCCCCACCATAAGCAAACTCGTAGCCAGCGCATTTTTTTCATACCGTCTCTCAAGGGCCCGACGTACTGTGGAAAAACTGGTTTTAGCTTGCACTGTTCTCCATAATTTCCTGAGAAGAGTCCAAGTGACACAATATGCACGTCCTGAAGGATCTTTGGATTTGGAAGATTTATCAAATAGAATAATTACCCCTAGACACTGGCGATCAACTCCACAGTTACTGGGGTTGCGAAGAGTGGGACGGAACGCCACTATTGATGCCAAAAATGTACGCTATCAGTACATGGAATATTGCAATGAAGAAGGTGGAGTGCCCTGGCAAGAGGGAATGACCCATTAGCAGCAGTATGGCATTGTGGTTTATATGAAACTGATGTACAGTAAGTTCTGCTATAACGCGTGCTTTGACAACGCGAATTGGCTCTAACGCGATTTATGAATAGAGGAACGATATTTGTATAACGCGAACGCTTGTTTGCTGTAACGCGATTTTTGCTTACTATTTCTCCAATTTTGTGGTATTAACTGTGAATATGGTAAAGAAGAATATCTCCAAGAAGCGTTCTGGTGATCGCATTCCCGGTGATGATCGTAAAAGAAAGGCTATAACACTTGAAGAGAAGCTCGATGTTATCAACCTCAAAATCACCCTTCTCCCCCATCAAGTTATATTCATATTTTTTCACGGTAAAGTGTTACATTTACTGTATGATTTCATTATTAGATATGAATGTAACATTTATTTAGACTGTGCTAACCTTTGTGTTAGGCTAACTACTAAAATTTTTTCGATTTCGAGTAGTAATCTGCACCTAACCCTATTTTCTCCATAAGCCCTGTTATTTCTATTACGCGAATTTCTATAACACGATGTTTTACAAGAACACAACTATCGCTTTATAGCACTGAATCTGACATGATGATACAGTACTTACTATGTATGACAATAATTATATACATGATGACATGTACAGTATTTGGGTTATGTATGACAGTAGTATTTGCTTCCAAGTTGATATTTTTTTTATTTATACTCTGAAATGTATACTTTACAGTTTACGCCTATGGATGGGATTTGTTCGGTGACACTAGAATGGAGTATTTTTTTTTTCCAAAAAATAAAAATAATTAACTGATTCTGAAGATTCACACGGTCAAATTACCACAAAACATATTGAAAATTGAGTTTGCTGCCAGGCCTGGTGCACCTCATTTATATTTCATACTTTATTTAGTGATTTTCGTTAATCTGTTCAGAAACATGTTTCTTTATACTTCAAAAGGTATTGCAGGCGAACATGCACATGACTCATTCTCGGCAAGAAAGGATAATTTCAGCACTGGTGAGACCTCACCTCAAAACTCGCTAGCAGGAGGCGGGCCTCTCCTTCCCTACCCACCCTCCCTCCCCCTCCAGCAGGCTGGCTAGTTGTGCTGAGGAGTGAGTGTACGGATATGTGATAACAGTCATCCCAAAGAGAGAGAGAGAGAGAGAGAGAGAGAGAGAGAGAGAGGCTTGCATACGTACCTCGTGATGAGAATGTACCTCAGACATATCTTCTGTAGTGTGAGTATCCATGTTTGAAACAGATTGTCGAATTGTGTCACCATCAATGAGGAATTGCAGTGCATCAAAGCACCATAATGTGGGAATATAAATGTCCTCAGTTCCAGCTCCAGACTTTTTTTATTTTTGCATCTTTCTTAGTTCCTGTCTATGCTGATTTCGAAGTGATTCAATTTTTCTCTTCACATCACTTGTGGTAACCGTAGTCCCGCTTCTATTCATGTCCTCTGTAATCTGTCTCAGTGCTGCTGCACGTTTGTCCCTATCCCTGTACATGTCCTCTTTGACATTCCATAGACAAGGGTGCTGACGATAGAGTTCAATCAACACCATGGTCTCTTTTCTAGACCAATGAATGTTTCCTTAGTCTGTGGCGGACGGAGGAACAGACATTTTCCAGTGGTGACTTGTGACGAGACTGAAAAACTGGCAGCCAGGGTTCCAAGGTTAACTTCGTTTGTCTGGCAGGGTCGTCCATCCATACCCGGCAGCAAACGGTCAAACCACCAAGCAGACGGCCTTATCTGGTGATTTCGCTCGACCACAAGCACGGGCACTCCGTTGGTTTGCCTGTCAATTTTGCCCGAACAACGGGCATTAAGCGAGTGCCCGTCGGGCAGTGCTCGATTGTGTGGACGGGGCTTAAGTTACAGATTATTTTACAAATCTCTTTCTTGTATAACACAACCATCTTTGAAGTATTCTATTCTTCCATTACAGTATTACTGCCAATACTGAGCAATGTTTTAAGGATTACTGCTAAGTCTGCTTAACATATTGTGCACATCTTTTATTAAGACCTGGATGCATCAGAACCCAGAGAGGTATCAGCTCTCATGCTCATAAGTATTCTGCATAAAGGGTGTCAGTGGTGTCAAACTCAAAACCTTTCGAGGGCCAACACAAGTGCTGTCTGTATCAAATATTTGCAGGACTGAAGTTTAAAGCTTCACACATTGCCTTACCTGGCTTACCAGGAATGGATTTGTTTGATCCTAAGTAAATAAAATTAATTTTACTTAATAAACATGATTATATCTATTTCTATCCTAATTTCACGGGATGACAAATTTTACCGTCATTTCACGGGCCACACCTGACCATCCCAAGGGCCACAATTGGCCTGCAGGCCATGAGTTTGACATCCCTGCTATATGTCAATGTGACCAAGATGTGCACTCCCACCACTGTGAGTGCCAGTAGAGTGTTGCTTTAAAAGAATTAAGATAAAAAAATTTATTGAATGTATCTGTGAAGAGGACAACTTTGTTCCCAATGGAATAAATCCGGTACTCTTTACTGTAGTGCATTTCTCCAAAATTATACAGGTACTGAAGTAAAGTTTGGACTGAAACTTCTACTTTGCTTGAATGCTTCATACTTTACTTTTCTCACTAAATCAAGTTAATAGTGAGAATTCCATCACCATTCTTGAACAATTGTTTTCTAATTTACATTCAGCCCCCAGTAAGAAATATTGCTGGATAAGAAAACAAGCTAAAACAAAAGGAATGTACATTATACATGTATTCTTTTCATGGAAAATTACAGTTGCTAAAATCTAAGTATGTGTTACTATATACACTGTATAAGGTATTATGTTTGTTACACTGTATAAGGTATTATGTTTGTTGGCTTTTTCTTGTGTGTGTAATTGGCTGCAGAGGTGTGTGTGTGTGTGTGTGTGTGTGTGTGTGTGTGTGCGCGTGTGCACGTGCGTGTGTGTGTGCATGCGTGCGTGCGTGCGTGGGGTGGGGGTGTATGTGTGGGTGTGTGTATGTGAGGGTGTATGTGAGGGTGTGGATGTGTGTATGTGTGGGTGTGTGGTTGTGGGTGTGTGTATGTGTGGGTGCCCCAGAGGTGCGGTGTGGAGGCCCACCGGCGTGTGGACATGCCCTGGCACCCACCAACCCGTCCCACCGTCTTGTGGGTTAACTGGTAAAGTGCAAGACTACGGGAGTCAACCACTAACGAAAAACTGTGTTTGGAGTCACGCAATAGGCAAAGCACAATAAACCGCGTTCTCGGCAGACTCCTGCGACCCCGCTCAGCAGTCGGTCGTCATGGGTCTCTTATGCCACCGACAGTTGCTCGGGAAGGCCAAGGTAGTGGGGGTGGCGTTTGCGCTCCATCATGCCCACTCAAAATCCACTCATTACGCAGGCCCTTTGTTCCAATCAACCTCATCATCTCATCATCACCTCGAAAAGACCTACGGCGATGGGAACGAGTGGGGGCACAGGTCAAGGATGTGACTGGAAGTGTTTAGCTCCGACCTGCACGTAGACGGTGGTGGAGTGATGGTCGCTGAGACATGGGACAGGGCAGTGTGTCTCTTCGGCAGCTTCCATCATGACAAGCAGATCCCAACTGCTTCCTAATGGAGGGACCTCGAAAAGGTGGTCCCAAACAAATGCTGTCTGACTCTTGCTCGGGCGGCCCGCTGCAGCCGTCGAGTCATCCCATAATGCAGTCGAAACAATCAAAATAATCCGATTAAGAAAGAACTTAATTTTGCTACCTGGAATGTCAGAACCTTATTGGACAGAGGGGAGATAGAAAGACCAAGGAGGAGAACTGCCCTGGTCGCTAATGAGCTCAAGAGATATAACATAGATATTGCTGCTCTTAGTGAAACACGACTGAGGTGGGAGGACTCGCTGACGGAAGTGGGGGAGAACTACACCTTTTTCTGGAGGGGGCTCCCAGAAGACACGCGCCGTGACTATGGGGTGGGTTTCACTGTCAAAACATCACTCCTTCGCAACATCCCTGAGACGCCTGCTGGAATAAACGAAAGATTCATGACATGGCGCATCCCTCTGGTCAAAGGTCGCTATGTTACCATCTTCAGAGCTTATGCACCCACCCTTGATGCTAATGAAGAAACAAAAGACCACTTCTATAGTATATTGGATTGGAAACTGCTCTTGCAGATGTACCACCAACTGACAAAACTCTACTTTTACGGGATTTCAATGCAAAATTGAAACAAACTATGAAACATGGGACAAAGTTCTGGGCAAGCATGGAGTAGGGAAGATGAACAAACACAGACTCTGCTCTTACACTGTGCTCAGAATACAATCTTTTGATCACTAACACCTGGTTCCAGATGAAAACCAAATACAAGACCTCATGAAACATCCTCCAATCAAACCAATGGCACCTCCTTGAATATGTTATTAGTTGCCAAATGACCTAAGAGTGCAAATCATAAACCATGAGGGGTGCAGACTGTGGCACGGACCATAGGCTAATAATAAGATCCAGGATTCGCATGATAATTCAACCCCAACACCTGAGGATTACCATCCATGATCTTCTCAAAACCAAAAAATTAGCCCACGATGCAGAAACACAAAGACTGTTATGCAGCATGGAAAATGACTGGTGGGTCAAAAAATCACAAGAAATTCAAGCCTTTGTTGATGTCAGTAACACACGGCTTCTATGAGGCAGTTAAGTCCATTTATGGTCCACAAAGAAGAAATGTCACACCAGTAAGATCTTTAGATGGCACCACACTCTACAAAAGCAATCAAATGATTGCAGTAAGATGGGCTGAGCACTTCAGCACACTTCTAAATCATATTAATCCAATAACACCTACAGCACTGGATAACATCCCACCCATGCCGACCCTGCACCTCCTGGATGAAGCCCCACTCCTACAAGAAGTGGAAACTGCAATACAGTACGAGGGCTCAGCAACAAGAGCGCTGGACCTGATGGCATTCCTGCTGAAATTTACAAACATGGAGGTCCCCATCTGACTGAGCGCCTCCATAGCCTCTTACTCACCATATGGGCCACAGAGACCATCCCCCAGGATTGGAAAGATGCAAATATCATAACAATCTTTAAGAATAAAGGTAACAAAGCAATCTGTGGTAACAGCAGGGGCATCTCCCTCCTTGTAGTTGCTGGCAAGATCCTGTCAAGTCATGTTATCAAGACTTATCCAACACCTAACGGAGAACACTCTTCCTGAATCCCAATGTGGATTCAGGAAGGATCGCAGTACAATAGACATGATCTTCGCTGCTAGGCAAGTTCAAGAAAAGAGTCGAGAGCAAAATGTAGACCTTTACACCGCCTTCATTGACCTCTCCAAAGCTTTCGACACAGTAAACAGAGAACTTTTGTGGACTATGTTGGAGAGGGTCGGTGTACCACCAAGATATTTAAACATCCTCCGCCAGTTGCTTTATGGAATGCAAGCCTGGGTACTAGTGGGTGGTGTGCAGTCAGAACCATTTAGTGTCCAAATAGGCATAAAACAGGGCTGTGTGCTGGGACCTGTGTTGTTTAACATTTTTTTGCTGGCTGTAGCACAACTCTCACACAATGCCCTTGGGCCTGAAGCAGGTGTGGGCATACGGTACCGTCTTGAAGGTAGCCTTTTTAATATGAGACGTCTGGAAGCCTACACAAAGACCTTAACAACTCAGGTCACAGAACTACAGTATGCAGATGACTGTGCAATAATGACACGTAACAGAGAATCTTTGCAACGTGCACTGGACGTGATCTCAGGTATTTACAGCTCGCTTGGTTTGCAAATTAACACCCAGAAGACTGAGATTTTTGCTCAGCCCATTGATCCACCAATAGAAGCACCACAATTCTACATTAATGGAGATCCTATCAAAATAGTAACCCAGTTTAAGTACCTTGGTAGCACTCTCACACCCACCTGCTCACTGGATATGGAAATTCAAACCAGAATCAATTTAGCCTCAGCTGCATTTGGACGTTTGAGAACAAGAGTCTTTCTCAACAATGACCTTAAATATGGAACGAAGACTGCAGTTTATCTCGCGGTCTGTATAGCTACAGTATTATATGCCTCAGAAACCTGGACGCCCTACAGACGCCATATACAAATGCTGGAAAAGTTCCACACTTGATGCCTTAAGCGTATCCTGGGAAGATAGAGTGACTAGTGAAGAACTATATCATCGCTCAAACACGACCAGCATTGAAACCATGCTAGCCAAAAGACACTTGTGCTGGCTTGGGCCTGTTATCAGGATGCCAGACCACCGGCTTCCAAGACATTATGGCACTCAACATGCCATGGAGGAGCGGAAACACTTGAGACCTCACTGAACCAAAAGAGAGCTACTAAATGAGCCCAACGATATCAGAGGGCTCAAGGCACAATTCCTCTCAATGAACAACATCCCTGTCACCTATTCAACAAGATCTGCGCCTCCAGGATTGGACTCCATAGTCATCTACGGTAGCATCCGAGAAATAACACATAACTCATCAATCATCTGGAGCAACGTCGTCATTGACTTCGATGGACTGCCATAAGCAAGTAAGTAAGTGTGTGGATGTGTGTATGTAATAATAATGATAATAATAATAATAATTAACGGTTTATTGAAAGAGCATGGCAGCCGGAAGGCTGTGTGGGTGTGTGTGTGATAAAGAGGGGATGCACATATGTGTATGTGTAAACTATACTATACTAAATAAGCCAAAATCTCACTTATGTTTATTTAACATTAGATATTCTTGCCAAATGACAGAATTTGTATAAGATTCATTAGGTTTATATCCAATGAAAGTAAACTAACTTCACAAAAACTCTGCTTAGGTTTACTGTACATAAGCTGACTGAAATACTGTATACAATGTTTTCAAATAAATAATATAAATGATTTTACAATCATACAACTTGTCATATTTTCACATATGCACTGAAAGCACCATGGTTCAACATTATAATCTCCTTGGATTAAAAATCATAACTATTAATGCATCTTATCCCTATTGTACTGTATACACAGTACAAACCTCTTTTCTTAATCCTACATTAAATAATATAATCAGTATTGTACAAATATTAAAGAAAGTTATATTTATCAACTCATTTTCCCAGATATATTTGTAATTACTAATCACTTTGTAAAATGAACTCGCAAGGAATTTGTTACAAATCTTAACTGAGGCAGATCAAAAGGAGTAGAGTACTGTACAACTGTTAGTACTTTACTGTTCCTGTGCCTAAATTATATGTTTTAGAGACTTGTTGTATAAAAGAAAAGTTGTTCCATACCTTAAGAATAACTTATACCCACCCCAGGAATTTTAATTTAAGCATTTTTGTGTTTTTCCTTCGGATTCTTCCTGGGATATTTACAATCACCTCTTGAAATTGACAAACTAAACCAAACCTATCCAACCTCACATAACTAAAAGGTTGGCTTACCTTAAATTTAGTATGTTAGGTTAAGTTTGAATAATTCACATATCTAATAAATGACAACTGCCATTTGAATAATAACACCATCTATAGGACTGTACAGTAACACTTAATAGGTGGTTCCAGTTCATTTTCTCACTTACTGTACATGGTATTTTGGTAACAATTATGATTACCTGCAACATCAGTTCAAAAATTATAATTATTTGGGTAGATTCAGGCTATTCTTAAGTTAGGCATGCAGCAACAATTATGAACAGTATTATCATACAATAAACTTATTTATTACTGTTGCTGCTCTTAATTTTTGGCTTATTCATGATTGTTCAAAATACAAACTATTTTTCATGTACTTTGACACAGAGGACTACTCGCCGCCAAGCTCATCAGAAAGATACTGAAGAAATGAATTTCCATTGATAATCTTTGTGGTTGCTATGACATATTCTGGCCCACCTGAGGAAAGATAAAAACATATTATTAGCCAATAATCATTGCCATCTAAAATTATACAAAGGAATCATTAGGCAAGTGATTCAATTATAATACAGTACAGTATAGATTGCGGGCTTAATATACTATACTAGACTATACTGTATGCTGTATCTGCACTGCCCCTAATGGCTCTTCGACCAATGAGACCGAATTTAACTTTTCACATTAGATTGAACTTTACCTTGATCAACCCTTGATGATAAGAAGCGCAAGGCAGCTATCTCTGAGTGTGTGCAGCCCCCAATGAAGAACACCAAAGCTGTCCCGCCTTCTCCCCCACTCTGCACAGAGCCAACTGAACCTCCTGTTTGTGATTAAAAAAAATAATGCTAAATAACAAAAGAGAGCTGTAAACATGTCCATACTGTAGGATAACTTATGATGTTGCAAGAGAAAATAAGCTTTCTAGAACATACTGTAATGTACCTTCAGAGCCAAATGTTTAATGAACAGTTACAGCCATGTAATGGTTAAACCAGTTAAAGACAAGAGACATGCCTGACAAGAGCAAGTCTGAGGAACAAATACAGCACCTGCCTGCATGTGACTCACCCACCAACACTGTGACATGACAGGTCTATATTTAACACTGCTTATCTGAACTGTTTAAAGAAAATTAGTTATGTTATTACTGCACTTCAACAACTAAGGTCTTTAATTGTCTAACAAGATTATTAAAAGAATATTACATCAACAATAAAAAAATTAAACCGAACTCTCTGGGTTGAAAACGAAACTTAAGTTTGGTTGTCAACAACTGTTGTCATCAGATGATTGTTATTTACTGTAAAGTGTTATATGTAAGTAACCACAGAACTGTATTTGTCTTATGAATAAAGAGTAAACTGTAAACTGTACAGTACTATAAAGATAAAATAAGTGTAGGAGTATATTGTATGTGGAAGACGAATGTTTATCTGGGAGCAGCTGGCAGAGGGTAGGGGTGGTAGCATGGGTGGGTGGCTCCCTCCCCCTCTCTCCCCTAAGATTCCTTCAACACTTCTTTATGCAATTCCACCACAATTCTCATATAATTTAGGATCACTTGGTGCCAGGTTGATAAAATATTATCCTTAAAGAATCAGCTTTCCTGAAAAAAGAATCCCACACTGAATGCCATGAGTCATTTGTTTACAAAGAACAAACAGCTGATTGGCTTACCACAATGTGTCTTCAACACTTAGTAAATTAGTACAGTAAAGTAGTGTACTTATCATCACTTAAAAAATACTTTTTTTTTGTATTGGCCCCCTACATCCTTGTGTAAGGTGAAGCGCAGAAGCGTTTTAGCGCCCAACAGGGAAGCATGCTAAGTTCATGCTTGCCTTTATGTCTCATGAGTTAAGGGCGTAGAAGCCTGAAGAGTCAAGGGTGTAGAAGCCTGAAGAGTCGATGGTTTATGTCATCAAGTTATTGGAAGCTCCAACAACTTGTCCCTGAATACGAATTCGCAACTTTCGACTTACAACAGGTACCTACTTTACTGCTAGGTGAACAGGGACTAATGGGGGCTAGGAAGTATGTCCAAACAACTTCCACCGGCCCGGGAATAGAACCCGTGACATCTTGCTTGCGAGGCAAGAGCGATACCGCTTCTACCACCGGCCCCCCATTAATAAATAAATACTATTGTAGTGTATTTGTCATCACTTAATAAGTAATATTGCAGTGTACAGTATTATGTATCTGCATATACTCTGGTTTATTCATTAATCAATTGTCTAAGTGTACAAGTAGCCATATTAAGCCATCATATAACACTCAAAGGTATTAAATAACATTTTTAAGAAGGTATCTTCATATCAAATACTATACAATGTGTTATAGTGACCCCTGTTGTGAGCTGGTCTGCTGAAAGCTCTCATGAATGTATCTTGAGTAAATAACCTTCTAATACAGCTTATCCTTTTATTTTCGAGTTATATTACAAATTACATACAGTATTGTATTTTTTTCTATTACTGAAGACGTTATATTAATCATGATGAACCATAAACCATAAGAGGCCAATCATATGAGAATATAATACTGAATCAATAAATAAATAAACCTGGTGAATGCTGCAACACCTGATCAGGCCCAGCCTGCTCACATACTCAAGTGTCTTAGTTCTCACTAGGCCTACAGTATATTCAGTAAGTTTGGTTCATTTCATAGGATTTATTTATTAATCTTCCTCATTTCTTATTTTTATTTATTTATTTCTTGTTTTAATATTTCTGGTGACCAGAGCATCTTAAGAGTCCAAAAAAGTGAATTCCAGTACAGGTATATTGAAGTCCAATTTATCAAGGTTTTACTTGTAGTTTTTTAAATCTGGCTCTTAAAAAAATTTAAAACTTTCCAGAAATCCTAAATTAAATTACTCCTACAATAACTTCCAGAGGCAGATCCAGGAATATAATAAAAAAAAGGAGGGGGGAGTCCAAGAAGCTGTGGGCGGGGGGACATGGCAAACACAGCCAGCCTACCTAGTTGGAGTGTTTTGGGGGGCACTGTAAGCACCCACCCCCCCCATATTTTTTTCAAATCTGACCAGTGTCATAGACATTGTGAGGTCATGTGCACTTGATAATAGGAGATATTCTGAGGCCAATAGTAATTACTTTGATTATATATATAAAAAAAAAAGAAGCCCTGAGTACAATACTGCATCACAGAAAAAATATTGTAATTTTCTGATGAAAAAGGGGGGTCCAGACCCCCAGGACCCCCTGAGTTAAAAGGTAAATTTTTGAACCATTGGCCTTCATCCCCCAAGTCGTTTAATGTTGTGTTCTGCTCATCACAAAAACTGTTGCTTCCTGGCTGTCTCATCTCTTCACTTCTATTATATTTCAACTAATCATTCCAAGTAGGTTTCCTTAAATGATTTATTTCATAAACAATGAAACACATATTGTACTGTATTGATATCAAAGATAGATCCCAAATGGATTGGTACCTTGACCCCACCCACCCCCCTCACCATAAAACAATACTGTACCACACCACTGTTGTTCAGTTGGGCATCCAAGTTATTCACTAAGATTTGAGTTAAATTAAAAAAAAATAATAATAAAAAAAGGGGGTGGAGGGGGGGCAATAAACTTACTTCTTTGCCTGAGGGCACTAGGAAGTTGCTGTGTCTCTGTCAGTGTTGGTCCGGGCAAAACTTGAAGTACACCAGTGATTGCTCGCCATCCTGGCCACTGTAAGAACTCCACCAGCCGTGCACTGAGTGGTGCATATCTGCATGACAAAATATTTAAGTGAATGACAAAAGTAGTTGACTACAGAAAAGAAAGGTGTTAAACCATGAGGGGGAAAATGAAATGCATTACTTCTACACTGTGACTGAAATCACCAAAATTATGGAGGTACAATACAGTATTACCCCGCTTTACACGGTTTCACTTTCCGCGATTTCTCATTTACGCGGTACCTTGCCAGAACCGGACTTTCACTTTCCGCGGTGCATCTACTCATATACGCGGTGAAGTATAATTTTTTTATTTTTATTTAGCTCATAAAATTCATACAAATTACCCGGCCAGAATATAATTTACATTGCTGGAACTCTTACAATATGATGATCATTTTGAATATAAACATCATGGATTTTGCATTAGACATACAAATTTTAGATCTAATGTAATAATTTGGTTTACACAAAGCAAATATTTTATTGTTTGTGCAAAATATATGAAGTTTACATTCAAAATATTCCCTGACCTGCAAGGAATCCAGAAATGTCAATTATATTATCCTAACTTTAGTCTGAGGTATTATTTATTACTAAACGTTAAAATCTAGTGTTTTCACCCAAACATTTCTCAGAGAGGTAGGAGCTAGTGAGCTGGGAAGAGGGGGGGTGGGATTTGAGTCCATTATTTGAATGGACATTAACCTGGCGACTGTATTTCTCTTAAATATTAATTGTGTGTGCATACCATCATAAAAATAAGATGTCATTTTTACTACAACATAGGTATTGTGTCGGAAAAAGTGGAGTTTGGGGGTCGGGCCAGTCTCTATTGGAATTAATCCCATATGTTCTGTTGTTCACTTTACGCGGTACCCCGTGGGTTCAATTGACCGCGTAAATCGGGGTACTACTGTACATGAATTTATCTCATATTGGGATGAATAAACAAATACTGTATGTAATAGTCATGAAAGAAGTCAGGTGTTACGGTGTTACACAACTTAATTTCCAGATATTTTTCGCCCTCTATAGTTAATCTGTGGATCTCTGCCCAACACTGATTTTGAGAATGACTTTATAGTCTTTTAAATATAGGGTAAAATGTTTTCCCTATCCCTTCACTGAATATTGACTTTCCTTTGTGCTGCACGAGTCACCTTGGCAGTGAACCCTCCAAGTTTCAGACCCGGTAAATCAGGATTTCGGAAGATTTGGACAAAATTTGGGGGTTCTGAGAGCTAAGAAGCCTCCCTAAGAAGCATTCCCAAAACAAAACAAAGATCATCTTAGGCTCGTGTAACTAAGTTGTCAGCATGCGGGACACTGGTGCCCGGGGCGGGAAACATAAACAGAGTTATCAATTGTTGTTTGTGGGAATATTATTTCACTGACTCTAGTAATGATGGTGTTTCTTATTATGTTATCATAGGTAAATGTAAGGTTAATATAATTTGTTTATAACTGGGCCCCATCACCTTTTCAAATCAAACTACAAGATATGTATGTCTCCTATACATATTTTGATTGTATGCCTGGCAACGGGAGTGAGTGACCACTAGTCGAGCGTTATCTGCTGTTGTAACTCTCCTCACTCCCTGCCATATTTAACTGGATTTACCGTTATTATTAGTGTTTACTGATAGAACTGTTTAATAGTGATTAATCATGTCATTTATGTTAGCTCATCATTGTAATCACCAGGCTACTGGGCCAAGCTGTGAGGTGTTATGGTTTTTTCAACTCATATTTTTGGGTAGATATACGTAACTTTCTTCATTTATTTTTACTCAGTTACATGCACACACCATCCTACATACATATTGTGAAAAAAAGTAAAAGAAATAATTGTCCTAAGGGCAAACACATAATGGGAGGAGAGCACAGTGTGTAACTGGTGGGGAGTGTTGCTAGGGAATTGACTTTTATTTACTCATTTGGTAATAGTACAGTATTTTTTGTTGTAACTTATTTATTGGTATTATTTTTATTTATTCCTCACATTTCCTGGTATAGTATGTCCGGATAATTTGTGGATTTATATTTCGCGGTCCTCTATTATTTGCGTATGACACCCTGGGTGTACCCAAGAATGTCTATGGGTAGTTTTAAAGTTGCTGGGGCTTTCACGGCTGGGACAGAGAGCCATTTGCTCTAGAGACAGTAATCTCATTTACCTGTATTGTATATTAGACAGACATACACACACACACACACACACACATATACAATACAGGTAAAAGAAATAATTGTCCTAAGGGCAAACACATTGTGTACATTTCTTTGTACACAAGTAAAAAAATGTATACCCCCTCCCGTCAGCAAATGTTATTCGCGGAATTGGCGATTTGCGGCTATTTTGAGAACCTAACCCCCGCGAATTTGAAGGGCAAGCTGCACTGTATATATTATTTTAAGAAAATTATGGCTACAGGAGGAAAATCCACACAAAAGTTTTCCTAAATACTACCTGCTAAAATGGGGGGGTGCGTCTTATATGCCGTAAAATACAGTACAGTGGTCCCTCGGTTAACGAACTCAATTCGTTCCAGAAGGTCGTTCGTTAACCGAAACCATTGTCTCAATGGTATATTGGGTAATTGGTTCCAGCTCACAGAAAAGTACTGTACATACAAAGTAAAGCCAAAAATGCATAAAGTCAGAAACACTCCTAAAATTCCCCTAAATCGCCCTTAAATCACTATATAAATATATGTACATATACACTAGAACTCTTAAATCACTACTGTAATGTGACACAAGTGATTAATTTTATCTCTTGTGCAAAATATATGACGTTTATATTCAAATTATTCGCTGTCTTGCAAGGATTCCAGCAATGCAAATTATATTCTCCTAACTTTAGTCTGAGATATTATATAACATAAAAACTGTAAGCCTAAAACCCTGCCTGGGCAGATGGGGGAGAGGGAGGGAGGGAGGGGTGACAGTGACATGTTTGACAGTTGGCGCCTGTGGTGTGAAGTGTTTAATTGTTTATTTATGTCCTTTAGATTGAGTTTTTGTTTTTTGCTTATAAAATTTAATAGAAGTGACCGGGGAGAATATAATTTACATTGCTGGAATTCTTATAAGATAGTGATTAATTTGAATGTAAACATGCCATAGTTTACACTGGACAAAAAATTTTGCACCGGACAAAAATTTTAGTAATCATTTTGTACATTATTTTGAGTACATGTACAGTTCAGCTTTCCCTAAGGACAGTGTGTGCATGTAAATGAGTTTCAATAAATGAATAAAGTTACATTTATTGAGCCAAAAATAAAAGTTGAAAAACTTTATGTAAGCAGAGCTTGGATGGCTAAATTTTAGAATGACCAATAATTTTAATACTGTATAAAAAAATGCACAAATATTAAAGAGCACAATTTTCTTGATATTTACTCAATTGGTAACGAATGTAAACATAGAAGAGATTAATGAATTGGCTGAGTACCTCCTCAGCTTATTAGCTGATGTTCAAAACAAAACATGATTTTTGTAAGGATTTCGTTAATCAAATTTTTTTCCGTTAACCGAATTGAAGATTCTTATGGAAGGTAATTTGTTAACCGAGGCGTTCGTTAACCGAGGGACCACTGTACTTGTACTGTATTTTTGGTGTTTTTTATATAATTATTTATCGTTTTTAAATATTCAGTACATTCACCGGAAGATACGGACAATCAGCTTTTTCGGCCAAGTGGTCCCCCCTTTTAGTCCAGATCTTCGAGGGTTCACTGTATTGTCTTCGAATTTGAAATTTTAATTATATATACCTGAGGTCCTTCAGCATAAAGCAAGTAGACTAATATGATGTGATAAAGGAAGTAAGACCGAGTTACTATCCTGATAGGGAAAATGGGCAAAAGGATCCTGCTTTAACTGAATGATTTAAAGCTTCCTGAGCCAGTCACTGATAGGTACCAGAGCAATGTGAACTTTTCCATGTCAAAACAATATATGAAACCTAAGATGACTAACCCAGAGTGAACGTAAGACATGTCTGTAGGATCGTGCTCACTGACATCATCTACTGTGAGCTGCATGGTCTTGCGGACTGTAGCATAGGTGCTGCGTCCTTGTTGAACATAAAGAAGACCAGCCTTCTCCAAGTTTTCCAGGGTGAGGAAATGTTCAAATCCATAAGTGTGAATTACATCCCTCTTGTAGTGCTCCAAAATTTTGGGTTTCAAGCCACTATTCACAATACACTGGAGGCAGATCAATCTGAGCACCTGCACAGAAGATGAGAAAAACTATGTACATTTTATCACATGATAGGAAAAGCAACAGCAGTAGCTGTCTGCCTTGCTAAACTAGAGTGTCAAGCTTAAGATAAAGTTATTATTATTGTGAGTGCTAATGCAATTTTCTTCATGAGGTGAGTGAACATGGAAAGGTCAAAAGAGTGGGAGCAGAGCAGGGCCATGTACACATTAGCACCAGTATGGGAGTATGTAAGTAAGATGGAGCACTTAGTTGAAAAGCAATGTGGGTAAATTCAGACAACAAATTGAAAATTGTTCAAAACTGATGACTGTACTGGTAATGATCTAAAACTCTGCATGTTATAAATGACACATGTATAACTACAGTATTACCCCGCTTTACACGGTTTCACTTTCCGCGATTTCTCATCGATTTCTCATTTAGTCATTTACGTGGTACTTTGCCAGAACCGGACTTTCACCTTTCACTTCACTTTCCGCGGTGCATCTACTCATATACGCGGTGAAGTATAATGTATTTTTTTTTTATTTAGCTCATAAAATTCATACAAATTACCCGGCCAGAATATAATTTACATTGCTGGAATTCTTACAATATGATGATCATTTTGAATATCAACATCATGGATTTTGCATTAGACATACAAATTTTAGATCTAATGTAATAATTTGGTTTACACAAAGCAAATATTTTATCGTTTGTGCAAAATATATGAAGTTTACATTCAAAATATTCCCTGACCTGCAAGGAATCCAGAAATGTCAATTATATTATCCTAACTTTAGTCTGAGTTTTTATTTATAACTAAAAATGTAAATATACTATTTTCTCCCAAACTTTCTCTGGTAGGGAGGGAAGGTGGGGGGTGGGGGGTAGGGAGGGAGGGACCGACCCAGCTAGGGCGAGGTGGGGTATTTTGATTGACAGATAGTGTCTTTGAAGAATATTTCTTTGTTTATTTACTGAAGATATTTGTTTTAGCTCATAAAATTCATACAAATTACCCGGCCAGAATATAATTTACATTGCTGGAATTCTTACAGTATGATGATCATTTTAAATATAAACATCATGGATTTTGCATTTGACATACAAATTTTAGATCTAATGTAATAATTTGGTTTACAGAAAGCAAAAATTTTATCTTTTGTGCAAAATATATGAAGTTTACATTCAAAATATTCCCTGACCTGCAAGGAATCCAGAAATGTTAATTATATTATCCTAACTTTAGTCTGAGGTATTATTTATTACTAAATGTTAAAAATCTAGTGTATTTCTTAAATATTAATTGTGTGAGCGTACCATCATAAAATTAAGATGTTATTTTTACTACAACATAGGTATTGTGTCGGAAAAAGTGGAGTTTGGGGGTCGGGCCAGTCTCTATTGGAATTAATCCCATATGTTCTGTTGTTCACTTTACACGGTTTTCATTTTCCGTGGCACCCCGTGGTTTCAATTGACCACGTAAATCCGTAAATCAGGGTACTACTGTATTCTTAATTATTTTCCACACATCTAATTTTCTGCATTTCTGTCACATCTGCCACAATACTTTAGTTTGTGTTTCTTAAGAATTTTTATGTAAAATCATATACCGTATCTTTTACTTTTGCATGTTGTGTGTAATATGAAATACTGTACTACTAAAAGCAGGTACAATAATATCCTATCATTCTCAAACACCAGCATAATGATGAGAGAAACGGATACTGTAAGAACTTAGACATTCTTATAATGATTACAAACTGCTTCCATAAGTCATTACCTACAAGTAAAATGATTCATAAACATCAATTACTCTATATACAAGATAAGTTATCTCTAGAGCTTTTTTGCAAAAATAAGGAAAGAATATACTGTATATGATAGGTAATGAAGAACACAATTATTTTACCTACAGTATTCAAAGATTCCTTCTGTGCGATGCAGTCTTCTATAAAAGGACTTATTTTATCTGTATCAAGTCCTTTCAAAAACTCTTGCTCCATCTGCAGTGCGGGTCGGAAAATACCTGAGGCAATTTGTTCTTGAATCAATTCAGCTATGGTAGTGTCTGCAAAAGATAATGTGAAGAAACAAATTTTAGAACAGGTCCTTCCTAAACAGACATTCATACATGACATTAAATGCTTTACATTCCTTCATATATATAATAACAAACTCTACTTCTTCCACAGTAAAACTTTTGCTCTATAGACAAGTCATTACTGTACCTATATGAAGATTTGTTTATTTATCAATTTATTTATCATCATTATTTTTACTACTGCAAGCCTTTTCTGCTCTAAGACTGGGTGGCCAACATCAACATCCTCACTGGGTGACCAACATCAACATCCTCACTGGGTGACCAACATCAACATCCTCACTGGGTGGCCAACATCAACATCCTCACTGGGTGACCAACATCAACATCCTCACTGGGTGACCAACATCAACATCCTCACTGGGTGACCAACATCAACATCCTCACTGGGTGGCCAACATCAACATCCTCACTGGGTGACCAACATCAACATCCTCACTGGGTGACCAACATCAACATCCTCACTGGGTGACCAACATCAACATCCTCACTGGGTGTGTTGAAATGCACTATAGAGTCTGTCAGTCTGTCACACATAGAACAGGAAACAAACGACTCTTCATAATAAAACCCTTTAATTCTAACCTTAGGCTGGGAGGAGTGACCATAGTACAGTGTTTTGGGTTTAGTACTGTATACATGGAGCTATTCTTTTGTTCCATTTCAGCAGGGAATACAACACCTACACTCTTTTAGTGCAAGTCATTCATGGAAGTATGGAAATATGTGGAAGAAGTGATATGAACGACCCTTTACCTGTCTAATCTATTATTATATTCAATTAACGAACACTATTTGTCTTCTCCACAGTCATAAAATGCCTAAAATCTTATAAATATTAAAATTACCCATATTTCCTCTTATGGTTCCTTAATATCTTCCATCTACTCATACTTCCCACTTTGAACATAACTTTGCCAAGGTCATCCTTTTCCATTTTGTGTATAATCATTTCTAAAAACAGGGATGGAAAAAATGTTTTATAACTTAAAGAGTTAAATGCTCATGGAAATTATTTCAAGAAAATTTTCCTGCACTGATAATGTGTCTTCAAGAACTGGAGGTTTGAATTTAATCAGTACGGTAACCACATTACTCTGAGAACACTCGACACGTGCCAATACTTTTTAAATATTAATAAATGAAGGAAGATACAAATAGTAGGAAAAGGATCAATTCAAATCTTGGGACTGAGGAGAACTAGCGCATGAACAGGTTTTATATTGTGTATTATAATGTAATCTAATGAGTCTTACGTGTAGCTACAGACTGCTTGTGCACTTCCATCTGGGGAATTTTTTGAACAAACTGCTTTAACTCCCCCACAGTTTTAGCAGCATGGCGTTCTTCATATTGAGCCTTCACGGACTTTGCATGTCGAGAAAGACGAGGCCCCACAGCTGAGAAGTTGCAGTCCCTAATCTCTGCATAAAGGATCTCTAAGGAGGAGAGCTGCACCGTCTTTGTGTCCATGAATGATGAATCATCAGACGGAGGAGAGTCGGAGCTAGTCTGTGCAAACTTCTCTCCAGGTAATTTCACTGTACCTGCAGTACAAAAATTAAGAGGATCATTACTGAGTTTGTAATTAATGCTGCAGTTCTATATAGATTTTTTTCTACAATAATTATATAAAACATATGAAGACATTATAGCATACAGGAGCCTCAATATTAGTGTCTTGCAAACTCTGAACTATTGAAATTAAACATGCACAAAAATTCAGGTGTTGGGGAGATACACATTCCCCAACACAACAAAATTTTTACTTATAGCTATTTAAGCTGGCACAAAAATGATTTTCAGGCCCAGGTCCATAAACACACTATAAACACAAAAATGTCATTTTTTTAATTTTGAACTGTTAATATGACCACTAAACAGAGTGCCCTGTATGCAAGACTAAAGTACAGTACTCAAAAGATAATATCAGTGTCATTCAGTTGATAACATGTTGCTTCCTTGAACACTATGGTGGAAATTAAGACATTTTCAAATATACAGAGTACAGGGGTACTGTACTACTCAAATAGAAAAAGACACTTACAATTATTGATGCCATAGAATTGGTCTATTAGTCCATCATATGTCAGCTGTGTTGCCAGTGGTGTGATCAGGTCTACAGAGCGATCAATAAGAATCAGCTGATCTATCTGGGGGGTTACCTACAAAGATAAAACTACTGTAATGTGATATTCTATTCTGTTCCATAGATCACATTACAGTATATTCATATTACAAGACATAAAACAAGTGCAGTAAGACTAATCAATACATAAACAAGTAACCATAAATATATTTACAGATAAATAAAAAAGAAATCAACCAATCGTTTAATCTTTATTTTATTTTCAGTTTATTTGTTTCAGAATTTCCGACCAGTGACCAAAGCCCATGTTATACCACAGTATAGTCCCAGATGATATTTCTTTAGATTTAATGAAGGAAAAGAGTGATAACCATTTGTGACCTGTGTGATATAATGGACGAGCTGACAGTCGGAATTTTTTCCTAAGATGGCAGGTCAATGGGTAAAGAAAATGCAGAAATTCACTATGGCAATGATATTTTTAAATAAATTGGGCCAAAATGTGTAAAAAAAAATAAGAGTTAAAGTTGCTAAAAAGTCACGTGACTGCGAAAAGCTCTGATTGGTTGTGACGTCACAGATTAGCGCAAGCATCAAGGCAGCCAGCTGTGGTGTATGTGTTGTTACCAGCAGAAATACAGGACTTGTGGCCATATACAATGTTGATATACACAGGCTTACCTTATTGTTAGGTTAAAATAAATCACTGCTCAAGTATCATCGTGTGTATTTACTTGCTGGCTGCTAAAATGATGCAAAAGACCGATAACTCCAACATGGAAGTTTTCAACACTGTTCTCTATTTCATGTCTGGAAAATGTAAGTTTTCGTCACTGATGTCTATATTTAATGTTGTGGAAGGACTAGGGACGACCATGGCCAGGGGATGGGCTTGAGATGATCAGATGACAGATGTAATTTAACGTGCTTCATAGCTGGATGGCGGAGTTCTTGATATACTCTACAATCATAAACATATCTACTTTTGGCAACTTTATTTCATCTGCCTTGATGAACCCTGGATGTAGTTATCCAACCTTCTCGGCTGATAGGCTATGTAAATAAATATTATTAGATAATTAATTGTGCTTTACTGTGCAACACAGTACAGTATAGTCTCGGTTTACGCGGATTTCTTATACGCGGTTGGTCATTTACCGGTACGCAACACGTGTCCAGACGCGGCAATTATTAGTTACGCCGTACATTTCAGCATTTATGCGAGAAGCGACGCGGACAAGCTGCGCGCTAGGTCGCTCATACGTCATCGCTGACGTCAGATGACGTATCGGACTGTGATTGGGCCACGCATCCTTACCACCCACGCATTCCCTCCGCCACTAGCTGAGATTGGTCTATTTAACCTTGCTTGCCCAGTCAACAAAACAGTACCGAGTTCTTCAACCGCCACCCACCACAGCCAGCCCAAGTCAGTGATAGTGAGGATATGGACTTTGAGGGGTTTGACAAAGAGGCCCTGCTAGCCTCTGTGGTGGATAGTGATACAGGTGAGGGCCAATAATCTGCCCTCTGCCTCGGAACCAACCCCCCATCCCCGTGTGCCCAGCCATCTCTTCTACTAACGTAAGTGTTAAAAAACCTAATATTATTGATATTTCTCTTAAATATTAATTGTGTGTGCATACCATCATAAAATTAAGATGTTATTTTTACTGCAACGTACATATTGTGTCGTTAAAAGGGTAGTCTGGGGGTCGGCCCAATCTCTATTTCAATTAATCCCATATGTTCTGTTATTTCGTTTACGAGTTTCTCGTTTTACGCGGACCTCCATGGGTTTAATTGACCGCGTAAACCGAGACTATACTGTAATACTATATTGAATACAGGTACTCCTCGTCTTACGACCTATTCAACTTACGACCACCCGGACATACAACTGCCGCAGTCGTACCAAAAAAAAAAATTCAAATTACGTATTTTCGAGTCCCAACGTCAGTGATCGCGCTGTGTACTGACAAAATTTTTGTTTGTAATTCCCTTTAAAATGGCTGGCAAGCTGAGAAGAAAAAGAGACACCCAGAAATTTATGTAAATCTACCCAAAAATACAGTTGAAAAATTTTTACATTATTAAAATGTACTATGTACTAAAATTTGTATCTCTTGTGCAAAATATATGACGTTTATATTCAAATTAATCACTATCTTATAAGAATTCCAGCAATGTAAATTATATTTTCCCCGGTCACTTCTATGACATTTTATAAGCAAAAAACAAAAACTCAATCTAAAGGACATAAATAAACAAATAAATACTTCACTAGACCTTCAGTGCCAACTGTCAAACATGTCACTGTCACCTACCCTCCCTCCCTCCCCCCTCCAGGGTTTGGTGGTTTTAGGCTTACAGTTTTTATCTTATATACTATCTCAGACTAAAGTTAGGAGAATATAATTTGCATTGCTGGAATCCTTGCAAGGCAGCGAATAATTTGAATATAGACGCCAAATATTTAGTACAAGAGATAAAAATTAATCACCTGTATCACACTACAGTAGTGATTTAAGAGTTCTAGTGCTCGCGCGCACGCACCCACGCATATATATGCATATATATATATATATATATATATATATATATATATATATATATATATACATATATATATATATATATATATATATATATATATATATATATATATATATATATATATATATATATATATACATATATATATATATATATATATATATATATATATATATATATATATATATATATATATATACCAGTTGTACCCATAGCGGTCAATAGAACCCAGGGTCCGTGTTAAGTGAAATCGAGATTAAGTGAACAACAGAACATATGGGATTAATTCCAATAGAAACCGCCCGACCCCAAACTCCACTTTTGAAGACACATACCTATGTTGTAGTAAAATAACATCTTAATTTTATGATGGTACATGCACACAATTAATACTTAAGAGAAATAGAAATACAGTCGCCAAGTTAATGTCCATTCAAATAATGGACTCAACTCCTCCCCTCTCACACTACACTGCGGCTCTTCCCTCTGAGAAATTTTGGGGAAAACCACTAAATTTTAATAAATAATACCTCAAACTAAAGTTAGGATAATACAATTGACATTGCTGGATTCCTTGTAAGACCAGGAATATTTTGAAAATAAATGTCATATATTTTGCACAAAAGATAACATAGTTACTCAGAAAATTTTTTATCTAAAATTTGTATGTCTAATGCAAAAATATATATGATGTTTATATTCAAAATGATCACCAAATATAAGAATTCCAGCAATGTAAATTATATTCTGGCGGGTAATTTGTATGAATTTTATGAGCTAAAACAGGCAGTCAGGCAGGGTGGCGGGTGGGGCAAATCTAAAAATAGCGTCTCGAGCGGACACTCACCGTGTATATGTGGAAAAAATCCGTGTTAAGTGAAAGTTCAGCTCTGGCAGAGCACCGCGTATATGATAAAAGCGTTAAGTGAAACCGCGTTAGGCAGGGTAATACTATATATATATATATATATATATATATATATATATATATATATATATATATATATATATATATATATATATATATATATATATATATATATATATATATATATATATATATATATATATATATATATATATATATATATATATATATATATATATATATATATATATATATATTGATTTAAGGGCAATTTAGGGGAATTTTAGGAGTGTTTCTGACTTTATGCACTTTTTGGCTTTACTTTGTACGGTATGTACTTTTTCTGTGAGTTGGAACCAGTTGCGTTTGTTAATCGAGGGACCACTGTTTTATTTTCGCATTTTCGACTTACAACCAATTCGACTTACGACCTGGTCGTCGGTCCCTAACCCCGTCGGAGACTGACTGTATATAAATATTGCTAAGTACATTAACTAATTCAATGGATATTAGCTGTCCCTACTACAAATTTCATAGTATAAACATTCCAAACAATATTGGTATTAATTTGGTTTTGGTCATCTGGGGAACCTTAAGATTCTAACGATGGGATTAAGTACTTTAAACAATAAGACACTTTATCTGTACGGAATTTCTGTCGCAAAACATTTTTCGATCGCATAAAAAATACAGGTTAGATGTTAGGTTAGGTTAGATTAGGGAATGATAAGTTATATTATAAGTTATAAGATTAGCTTAACATACATCGGTAAGGAGGGGGGGGGGGGTAGTAACTCAAAACTAGTTATTTCCAATAGAAATGAAGGTCTAAATTGCTTATAACACATCGCAAACCATCAGAAAAAACATAGTCTGCATGTCTAAGTACAGGGATGACCAAAACTTAAAATTTACCAAATATAACCTATCATGAATCTAAGCATCCAAATACTTATGGTAGTAAAAGTAAAATTTTACCCATTAATTAATATAAATGATGATGTATCCCAGTGGTTCATTAGTGAATCCTCAAAACAATAACAGCACTATGTTGTCATGTTTACCTAGCATCAGGCATTATCAAAACAAAGTCCAGACAATGTCATTACTTCTCACTTGACTTGTATCTCCATCCCTGCGTCGTGTGCTGAGAAGGTGGTGACGTCATTGCAAATGGCGGCCCTGTTTCTAGAGAAATAAACTTATCTTGACTATTATAGCAGGACTTTAAACTTTTATTACAAATTATATAGTATTACCCCGCCTAACGCGGTTTCACTTAACGCGTTTTATCATATACGCGGTGCCTCCGTGCCTCGCCAGAGCTGAACTTTCACTTAACACGGATTTTTTCCACATATACACGGTGAGTGTCCGGCTCGAGACGCTATTTTTAGATTTGCGCCACCCGCCACCCTGCCTGACTGCCTGTTTTAGCTCATAAAATTCATACAAATTACCCGGCCAGAATATAATTTACATTGCTGGAATTTTTATAATTTGGTGATCATTTTGAATATAAACATCATATATTTTGCATTAGACATACAAATTTTAGATAACATTTTTTCTCTGGGTAACTATGTTATCTTTTGTGCAAAATATATGACATTTATATTCAAAATATTCCTGGTCTTACAAGGAATCCAGCAATGTCAATTATATTATCCTAACTTTAGTTTGAGGTATTATTTATTACAAAAAAGTTAAGTATTCTGGTTTTCCCACACATCTCCTTGGGACGGTTGGTGGAGGGTGGGAGGGAGGGAGGGACCGACCGACCATCTGTTACCCTGTGACGAATATTTTTTTTTTTTTTATTAACTGAAGATATTTGTTTTAGCTCATAAAATTCATACAAATTACCCGGTCAGAATATAATTTACATTGCTGGAATTCTTATAATTTGATGATCATTTTGAATATAAACATCATATATTTTGCATTAGACATAAAATTTTTAGATAAAATGTTTAATCTGAGTAAGAATGTTATCTTTTGTGCAAAATATATGATGTTTATATTCAAAATATTCCTGGTCTTACAAGGAATCCAGCAATGTCAATTATATTATCCTAACTTTAATCTGAGGTATTATTTAATACAAAATGTTAAAATCTAAATTTTTCACCCACTCTTCTCTTGAAGGGATGATTGGTGGGGGGGTGGGGGGGAGGGTTGGGACTGACCGCGCGGTTGGAAGAGGGGGGAAGGCAAGGTGGGGTACTTTGATTGACAGATAGTGTCCTGAAGATTATTTTTTTTTTTATTAACTGAAGATATTTGTTTTAGCTCATAAAATTCATACAAATTACCCGGCCAGAATATAATTTACATTGCTGGAATTCTTATAATTTGGTGATCATTTTGAATATAAATATCATATATTTTGCATTAGACATACAAATTTTAGATAAAAAAATTTTCTGAGGAACTATGTTATCTTTTGTGCAAAATATATGACATTTATATTCAAAATATTCCTGGTCTTACAAGGAATCCAGCAATGTCAATTGTATTATCCTAACTTTAGTTTGAGGTATTATTTATTAAAATTTAGTGGTTTTCCCCCAAAAATTTCTCAGAGAGGGAAGAGCCGGCAGTGTAGTGTGAGAGGGGGAGGGAGTTGAGTCCATTATTTGAATGGACATTAACTTGGCGACTGTATTTCTCTATTTCTCTTAAGTATTAATTGTGTGCATGTACCATCATAAAATTAAGATGTTATTTTTACTACAACATAGTTATGTGTCTTCAAAAAGTGGAGTTGGGGGTCGGGCTGGTTTCTATTGGAATTAATCCCATATGTTCTGTTGTTCACTTAACGCGGATTTCACTTAACACGGGACCCTCTGGGTTCTATTGACCGCGTTAAGTGGGGTACAACTGTATTGTATACCATATCACTCTACAGAGTGTACTTCTTGTGTTTACCCAGAACCGACAACTCGTCCATTACACACCGAGGTTTATATAAAAATCCCTTGCCATCTGATTTACTGTACAGGTATCCCTCGAGGTACGAACATTCGAGATATGAAAATTCGCTTATATGAATTTCCTAAATTGACACCTCTATTTTGTGTTACGAAAGCTTTCCCCACTTATACGAATTTGAGTCTGGGCAAAAATTCAACTCGCACGTCCCTGGAAGTCAGCTGGGGCGGCCACATCCCTGTAGTATTCACTCAACTGGGCTGAGGTAGGAGTTATGTTATGAGTATTTTTAATTTGTAATTTTGGGTATACAGGTGCTCCTCTACTTAAGAACGTTCAACTTACAAACTTTCAGAGATACAAACATCATCACTGAGGGGGGTTACCTGTCAGAACAGGTGTTTAATGTGGATGAGACTGGATTATTTTGAAGAAAATTCCATATAGAACAAACATTACCGAAGAGGAGAAGAGTGAGCCAGGTTTTAAGGCTGTATTAAAGGGTATAGCCGTACTAAATATCGATAATCTTTTAAATTTTTACAATATGTTTGGTATCTACAAGAGCAAAATTGGACTTACAAACAAGCCTCAGGAACGTAACTCGTTCGTATGTAGAGGAGCACCTGTATAAACTTAACTTTTTTCATAATTTCTTATTTTACTCAGTTACATGCACAAAGAATTCTATACTGTATATATAATGTGTAAAATAACTATCATAAGGTAAAAAAACATAAAGGGAATAAATATTTCTTTTTGTGTGTCGGTCAGCAGAAGTGGCTGGGTTGGTTGCTATGGTGACGCTTTAGGGCAGCCACGCGTGAAGCAGCCAGTGTCTAAGCAAATGGTGCCACTAGCGGCTGTGTTAAACTTTGATTTAGCATTTCCTTAATAGTTTTAGCTGCATATTTTCATCTAGAATTCTATTTAGTATTTTCTTAATGTCTGTAACGTATTAGGTAGTGGTGTAATATTTATCATTAGTTTGGTAGTTTTTTTGGGGGTGTGTTTTTTGGGGATATGATATAAGAGTATTTTTGTCATTAGGGAACCGAGCCTTATTTTTCCCATATGTTTTTCCATTCCCGATATGAAAAATCACTTAATGATTTTTTTTAAACATAACCCATTCATATCTCAAAGGATACCTGTATTAAAAATTACAAGTCCAGCTGCCAAGTGGAGAAGCAGTTCCCTTCCTGGTACACTGCAAATATCAATAAAGTACAGTACATCTTTTTCTGTGCCTACTGTATAAAGAAGTTAAAACAAGACAGAATACAGAACATTCCCAAAGTACCACAATGATTACAGTACTATCTCATATATACGTACAGTAGTTGGACAAGTTGCATAGGGAACATTTCCTTATTCAAGCCCCTATACTGTACTGTATTTCTTCAATGATTCCTTATATATTTCAACTCACCTGTGGTTCATTTCCTCCCATTTCTCTTCTCATTCGAACCATCAGTTCATACACTTGCTTGGCTGACTGACCTTTGCCATATATGTTAGGAATAAGACCGAAAACACCCTGAATGGTCATCAGAGCTTGAGCTACCAGGAAAACACTTGTAGGGTCACTATCCAACTGCAAATCCTGAAAGAAAATAAAATGTTTCATATATCTATCTGGAGTACTGTATTAAGAATTGACAGTACTGTATAGGCCCAGGTACATATACAAATACTGTAATGGCAAATATGACTCGATAAATTGCATAGAAAACAGATTCTCAAACTTAGTCTTGATAACAATGAAACACAGTTGTACAAATTTAATCTAAATCTGTAAGGTCTTTCTCACGATACTGCGTGAAACTTATGCCTCATACAGACAGACAAGACAAATTTCTACACTCAACACCCAACAAGAACCATAATTCTGATAAATAAATACAAAAAACCCCACTGATTATCATTCTCTACCAGATACTAATGATATGAAGTTGTTGCAGTGACCACATTTCATTCAAATTTGAAAACTTATTAAATTATTTGGCAGAAATATTTTGTATACAGTAGTTGAACAGTGGAATAGATAGGTATCTGTTATAGTACTTCTACGTCTCTCTACTGAAGTTTTAATTTAGTAAGTTTGCTGTGGAAAAACATGCTGCTGTAATACAAATACTGTAAAGGTAGACTGTACTGTACACTGGATACTACAAACTTACAAAGTACAGTAATACAAACTAACCCGAAAGCAGAGAGGCAATTCCATGGACACCAAGTCACAGTCCAGTCTAAACAGCAACAATGGCAGCTCTCTAACAGTTGTGAATGATCCACGCACTCCATGTTCTTGTAGTCGGCGCTCACACAAGAGGGATATCCTTGGTACCAGCCATAAATGATAATCCTTTTTGGTACTTCCTTGAAGATCTTCCCTGTAATAAAATGTTTGCTTAACAACTTTCATATTACAGTGATAACCCCGTTAGCCGGAACAATTGGTGCTGAGCACTTCCTTCTGGGGATGAGAGATTTTTGGGTAACCATACAGCTTTCTCAAACCTGGAAAAATTCCTTATCCCCGGAATCTTTTCCAGTTACAGTACTGGAAAAGTTTCCGGGTATCTAAACTAGACATCTTGCACAGACGCACACTAGCCCACTTCCCTAGAACATATTTGGGTGCTGGGGATGTTTTGCTCTAGTTTAATTAAGTTAGAAACTCCATTTCTTTAGTATAATAATTCAGAATAGTTTATCTAAAAGTATGGTTAAATAAATATATTTAAAAATTAAAAATCTATATATATGGGCATGAATGAAGTTGTGTGTTACAGCAAAGACTGGTATTTTCCACTCCCATGGAGCTGTGGGGGATTAGTGGGTCTTGTGAAACTGACCTGACCTGATGCAGTATCAGGTGGAGGTAGGGTGAGGGATTAGCAGGTCTCATGACCTGAAGAAGTCTTGAATAAAGATAAAAGCTCTAGTATTTTTTAAGGAGATTGTGATAAGTATAAGTATAAATGAGCAAAGTTGTAGTCCTTCAACATTATGGTACATCATATTTTTAAATATGGAGTGAGAAAGCAGAAAGATGTGGGTAATTAGAGAGATGGAGTGGAAACGAGTGGTAACATGCACCAGTGTTGCCAAGCGTTCCACAACAACTGATGTTTACCTCACCACCAGGCAGTCACACAACAAGACCCTCACCCTCGAAGCCTGTTGTCTTAATTCCCGTGTGTGTGTGTGTGTGTGTGTGTGGAACACACATCGACTTCACATCCCCAACAGCACCCACACACCCCAACATCAAACACACACACCCTACAACACCAACAACACACCCTCCAACACCACATACACACACACACTCCAGCCTCGTGTGAGACTCAGTGCCTTGCTTCATTGCCACCGTTCTTTATTTACCTGTACAGTATTAAGTATTATAGACTGCATTCTGGTATGATCAGCCTCTTATGGTGTATGTTTCATCATTGATAATATAAAATATTAAATATTACTATGAAAAAAATGCAATATATAATCAACAATTTGCATAAAAATTAAATGACAAGCCAAATAATAAGGTAAAAATAAGTATTTGACTGTATATGAAGGGTACTGGCACTAATAACCACAAATCATTACAGTAAAATATCTTTACTAATTAATAAATAACAAATAAACAATATTTTGTTGAGTTACAGTAGGAATGACAGAGGCAGGGGTAATGTTGAAGGGATACAGTACAGGTGATAAATAATAAAAAAAAATATGATATATTAATTTGTATAATGATAAGAACATCTGTGGTAAATTGAACAAAATCAAACAACTCCTTCTGGTGGTAGCGGTTTCCTCACACATTACTGACTAATAAATTATAGATAATATGAATTATATTAAGATACTGTACATAACTGTGTATAGCCAGGGAGAAAACCGACACACAATCCCAGATGAGCTACCGTTACGTAGTATATTCTCAGTCGCTTGTTTACTGAGCGGTAACAGCTGACATCTCTCTCCCTAATAATGTTGCCAGCACTCACCATCTCTCAATCATCATTGTTGCCACTGCTCAAGAGGGTTGATGCTTACCACAGAATCTGTCTTGAGCACTTAGTAAATAATATTGTAGCGTATTTATCAGAACATGATGCCCTGGTTTATTCATTGATCAGTTGTCTAAGTGCAAAAGTAGTCCTGTAGAGCCATCATGTATCAATTAATTTTAAAATAGATATTATAAGTAAAATGTTATAAGACAATGGTTTAGCAGTGCTGTTAATGATGTGTAAGTGTCTTGGCATGTCTAGCTCGTTTATATTCAAATTAATCACTACCTTACAAGAATCCCAGCAATGTAAATTATATTCTCCCAGGTCGTTTCAGTGGCATTCTATAAGAGAAAGGCTTAATCTCTCTTAAGGACTGATAAATAAACACACATTAGACCTTCAGCACCAACTGTCAAACATATCACCTCACCTCCCCCTCCCTCCCTCTCCCCACATCTGCCCAGGCAGGGTTTTAGACTTACAGTTTTTATCTTATATAATATCACAGACTCAAGTTAGGAGAATATATATGCATTGCTGGAATCCTTGCAAGACAGCGAATAATTTGAATACGCATAAAGTCAGAAACACTCCTAAAATTCCCCTAAATCGCCCTTAAATCACTATATACAGTATATATGTACATATACACTAGAACTCTTAAATCACTACTGTAATGTGATAGTGATTAACCACTATCACATTACAGTAGTGATTTAAGAGTTCTAGTGTATATGTACGTATATACTGTATACAGTCAACCCTCGCTTTACGCGGTCCCACATTCCGCGTTTCCACGTTAACGCGGTGCCCTGCCAGAACCTAACGTGCTCACATTACGCGGTGCGTGAACCCCATTACGCGGAGAGTGTCCGGCGCGACGCTATTTTTAGATTCGCCCCACCCGCCTGCCTGCCTGCCTGTGCTCTCGCCTCTCCCTCCTCCTCCCTCCCTCCCTCCGCCTGGGCAAGCCGCGCGGTAAGGTTGCGCAGTGAGTGTCTTTGTTGCGTTATCACTGACGTCATATGATGTATCGGACTGTGATTGGCCATGCATCCCTACCCCCCTCTGCTGCAAGCTGTAATTGGCTTAAAGTATTATGACGTGTCCACCCGGGGGAGGGAGGGAGGGAGGAAAGACGATGCTTGACCTAGCCGTGCCAGTTTCATCCCTCCACGCCAGACCGTATAAACATGTATCCATTGTTCTGTAAAATGGCTTCCGCCGGACCACCGCCCCCAGAGAGAAACCTTTCCTTACCTGGACCCAGCGGCACTAAGCCAAAGAAGACACTACGTTCCTTAAGCTACGAGGTGAAGTATACCATCATTCAAGAGTTGGAGAAAGGAACAAGGCAGGTTGATTTGACGCGCCAGCATGGTGTGAATGAATCTACGATTCGAACAATAAAGAAGGATGCAGCCAAGATAAAGAAGCACATGAAGATCACAAAGTCTACAGGTGCTTCTATGATCAAGTATTTTCACAACCAGGTGCTTCTCAAGACAGAAAAATTACTTGTGAGGTACTTGGTGCGTCAGGCGCGACGGAACATGGCGGTCGACACGCGCTCTGTTAAGGAGTACACACGTGAACTGTACATAGCAGTGGCACGAAAGATGGGAATTACAGAGCCCAAACCCTTTAATGCTTCCTCTGGGTGGTTACAGAGGTTTAAGATCCGGAACAACATCACCAATATAAACATTGGTGGTGAAGAAGCGAGTGCTGATCGTGCTGCGGCTAGGGAATTTCCTCCGTTTTTACGTGAGATTATGGAGGAAGGACAGTATACTGACGACCAGGTGTTTAACATGGACGAATCTGGTCTTTTCTGGAAAAAGCTACCTTCCAAGTCCTTCGTTGTAAAGAATGCCAGCAAGATTCGGGGCCGGAAGATGCAGAAGGAGCGCATCACCGTCCTGTTTACCACCAACGCCTCCGGTACCTGTAAGCTCAAGTTATCGGTGATCCACAAAGCACGCAAGCCGCACGCCTACAAAACCATGGACATGACCAAGCTAAATGTCCACTGGATGACTGCACGTAAGGCGTGGATGTTCTCTACACTGTCCCTCTCCTGGTTTGATGACTGTTTTGTTCCCGATGTAAAGAAATTCTGCGAGCGACAGAATGTGCCATTCAAGATTTTGTTGCTGCTGGACAACGCACCAGGACACTCGCCCCTACTGTTAGATCGTCACCCCAACGTAAAAGTGGTCTTCCTTCCTCCCAACACTACGTCTATATAACAGCCCAGGGACCAAGAGTTAATCTGTAATGTAAAAGCTGCATTCTCTACGAAAAAATTCAAACTCCTGAACGACTGCACCAACACCAGGGAAGAGTTGCGTAACCTGAGTGACACCACCACCGATAGCAAGAGCGAAGAAGATGAGGATCAACAGTTGGCACAGCAAAAAATACTGTTCAAACAATTCTGGAGAGTATTTAACATCAAGAAAGCTGTGGACTTCTTGGTGGAGTCATGGGGTGAGCTGTCTATTGCTACAATTCGTCACGCATGGAGACATGTGTTGCATGGAATACCAGGTGAGAGGAGGAGTCAATCTGTGACTGGTGAGGTTCAGACTGTTGCAGTAGCAGTGGACCTTGCCAGAGAAGCTGCGCAGACTGTTACAGCTGCAGGCTTCTCCGAGACCACCAACGACGACATCATGGAGGTGATAATGGAACATGATGTGACTACCGAGGAGATGGTACATGATGATGACGACGTCAGTGAAGAGGCAGGTGGTGCGTCATCCCAAGAAGAACAACACTTATCCCATAGTAATGTTAGGGGTGCCATCGAGTGTATCGAGAAAGCCAAGCTCCTCCTTTCCGACGACCCTGACGCAAACAGGTATGAAATCGTCACTACCCAGCTGTTGCAGACTATGGAGCCCTACAGCAAGGTGTATCACGACAACATCAACACCAGCCGTCAGCAAAGCATAACAGATTTCTTCGCCCGCAACCCACCACAGCCAGCCCAAGCCAGTCATAGTGACAGTGAAGATGACTTTGAGGGATTTGTCAGGGAAGCCCTGACAACTGTAAGTGACAGTGATGGTGATTCACCTAAGGGCCAGTAGCCTGCCCTCTGCCTCGGAACCAGCCTCCATCCCCGTATGCCGACCCATCTCTTCTACTACCGTAAGTGTTCCACCTAACTTTTAGTTTTCCTAACCTAACCTTTATTTTTCCTATGTTAACCTTTATTTTTCCTAACCTAACTCTTCTATATTACTTGTTTTTTCATACCATCATAAAGTTAAGATAAGATTTTTACTACAACATAGTTGTGTGTCGTCAAAAAGTGGAGTTTGGGGGTCGGCCCGGACTCTATTTCAATTAATCCCATA